AAAAACATAGCCGGGCATTATGGTGGGTACCTGTAGTCCCAGCTACTCAGGAGGCTGAGGCAAGAGAATTGCTAAAGCCCAAGAGTTTGAGGTCGCTGTGAGCTGTGACGCTACAGCACTCTACTGAGGGTGACATAGTGAGACTGTCTTAAAAAAAAAGAAAAACCTGAAGTCAATCCAATTTTGCTTCTTTGTATGTAATATTTTCTGAGGTGCCACTCATGTATCTAAGAGTAAGTTTTTTTTATGTCTAATCTTCACCACTCCTAGGTACAATCTCAGATCTTTCACCATTTTGGATTTTGAAGGAGAAAATTATTTTATTAGTTCAAGCACTTTCTGCCTCATTTTTATTTCTCTAAGACATCTATTATTCAGATGTGAGAACCTCTATATATATTCTCCTTATCTCTTAGTTTTTCTTATATTTTCTTTGTTCTGGGAAATTTTTTTTGATTTAAAGTTCTAATTCATTCCTTAATTTATCCATTCTGTTATCTATTCTATCTATAACATTCTTTATTTCAACCATTTATTTTTCATACCTAATATTTCTGTTTGGTTCTCCTAATAGAATGAGCTCCTAACACTTATTCTTACTTCAAATTGCTAATGTCTTTTCTTTTAGAATGATTATTAGCCGGCTCAGCACCTGTGGCTCAAGCAGCTAAGGCACCAGGCACATACACCTGAGCTGGCAGGTTCAGATCCAGCCTGGTCCGGCAAACAACAATGACGGCTGCAACCAAACCAGGTGTTGTGGCGAGTGCCTTAGCCTTCCCAGCTACTTGGGAAGCAGAGGCAGGAGAATCCCTTGAGCCCAGGAGTTCAAGGTTGCTTTGAGCAGTGATGCCACGGCACTCTTCCCAGGGCAATGGCTTGAGGCTTTGTCTCAAAAAAAGAATGATTATTAGTCTAACTTTAAACTCTTAATCCATCTGTTCTAGTATTTGTTCCAATAAAGCCTATATATTGTTTTTCTCTTAAAATACTGTGCTTTTCAACTGTCTTTGTTATTTTTCCCCTGATAAAGGCTGTCAGCTACTCTGACAAGCAAAATATGTATATGGGGAAAATCCAGAGTCCAGTTCAAGTCAGCCCCATTAAGTTGGAGAAGGTAGGAAATGAACACTAAAGTAGAAAGCCCCAAGAACTGGAAAACCAGTCACGATCTACCTCATAAAACCACTAGATTAGGGCTTTACCCTTTGTCCCCAGAGAGAAGCAGCATATGGCAGGGATTTGGTAAGACCAAAGGATTAACAGGGTAAGTAACAAAGAAATGAATACCTCAAGTCAGTTGCCACCTATTTTTTTCTTTCAACTCCTCACAAATATAGCCTTCTGAAATGCCTGGCTCACTCTTAGGGAGAGCTGGACTAGGACTATCAGAAGGATTTTCTTTTTTAATACAGTCTCAAGCCCTAATCAGTAGCTTGCTACTGCTTTAAAGATAAACACACGGTCTATTCCTCAGCATATTTCCAGTCTTATCTTACCCTGTTCTTCCCCTTGTTCCACACACCTCAACCATGCCTTTGCTTTCTGCTTCAGAGCCTTTGCACACATTGTTCCTTCATTTGGAGCACTGTGTGTTCTGTATAAGAATGATTCATTCCAAACCTTCAAGTCTCAGGTTAAATGTCACCTCCTCAATTGTCATCAAGATGCTAAAACCATCTAAGTCAAGTCAGGGGTGGGATAAATACATGAAGCAGGCTGACCACCTGACCTTCCCAACCCTATCACTAAGGCTCATACATCATGTAGTACTTGATACAAAACAACAGGAAGCAACTAGCACCACTTATTACGTATTCTTAAATTTGTAGGGGGAAATGGAAAGTGAAGAAGTAAGCAAAGAGGCTCGGCATCTGTAGTTCAGT